GACCGCGGTCAAGATTCTCCCATACAGAACTCCTTCTTGGTTAATAAGAGCTAATCTTTGCCTCCAGTCGTTGCTTTGTTTTGTTGCTATGACATCACAAACGAAATGCCAAGGTTAGAGAAGTCACGTGATCAAGCGGCAATGGCCGGCACAAAGAGTCTTGGCGAATGTGCTTGAAGGAATCGACCTAATAATGTAGTTTCTTTTGAAGCTGATTCGTCATTTTATCGATATACAGATGTCTTTGGCAATGCATCGGACTTCCCTAGCTTCTCCGACTGGTGCTATGAAACCGAGCCGTATATTTGGATCTAGTTCAGTTGGTACAAGTTTATCGTCGACTTACGGTAGTTCAACAAGGATACCAAAACAAGCGCATTCCTCCAGTTATCGGCGTTTGCATCCTGGGCCTGGTCCTCTGCCTCATTTCAGCCATCAAAAATCTTATGGTACGGACTCCACGACAACGTGGAGAAAAACTTCAAACGACTCTGGTTATGCCAGTTCAGGTAGAAACAGTTATACACATGAAGATTTGAAGAGTGGTCCTCTGCCGAATAAACCTCATATTCTGGACAAATCCGGCACACATACCAGAGAGATAAACTATGTTGCTGCTTCAAGGGTCACACCGGCTGGTCATTTCAGCCATCAAAAATCTTATGGTACGGACTCCACGACAACGCGGAGAAAAACTTCAAATGACTGTGGCTATGCCAGTTCAAGTGGAAACAGTTATACTTATGGAGATTTGAGGAGTGGTAAGATGAAATCACTCTCACAGCTGAATTCTCAGTGGAACAAAGCAAGCGATTTATCAAGATCTCCTCCAAACAGATCAAGAATGGAATCGTCTATGGATGGGGTTAGCTCCCGAACAGGGCATTCGTACACTCAGAATCATGTAGGAACCAAGGCAACGCTAAATGGCGGTAGCAATACAAAAAGTAGTAGTAGAGGTATTTATCGATCGACAACTCGTCTGGACTACAAAGATCCAAAGGAAGATAGAAAGTCGCTGCACAATGGTAGGCAATCTCATTCCTCGCACCTCATTCCTCATTCCTTATCCAACGCTGATACAATCTCAGGAAAAGAAAATTACAGTGTCAGAGATGCAGACAAAACTCGCAAAGCTACCATGACTGCTTTACCTGGGTCAGATATGAAGTGTGCTGGAAATTCGTCCTTCAATTCTTCGAACTCTTCCCCTTCCAATTCGGTAAGTACATGTATCTGCTTTAGAAACTAATTATTTGGTTTATTTCTTCATTAAAGGTCCGGTAATGTGGGCAGCATTTTTCTTCAACTTGTCTCGCAACATTGTTGCATTGCAAGTTGAAACCCTCTGTTGCGCCTATTACCACGTTTGTGACCAACTTGTCTCGCAGCAAAATACAGTGTTGCAGGTTGAGGCAACATGTTGCGCAAAGTACACTCGAGTTCTACTTCCTTCAACAAATTTTGTTTTGCTGCTCGTATTACCACTGAAGCTACAACTTGTCTCGCAACAAATTTGAATTGAACGCTTCTTATTGGCTGTCATGAAGCGCGGGAAATAAAAAAAAATTGTCTTGAAGGGACAAACGAGGTGTCCCAAAGACTATGATAGCCCTCGAGGTCTTTGTACAGGACAAATTTATGACTTTCCGAGAGTTACTGGTCTACTTCGAATTCAGGCTTGTCTTCACCATCCGCCATGTTTTTTTCTTTTATTTCCCGCACTTCATGACAGCCAATTAGAAGCGTTCAATTCAAATTTGTTGCGAGACTAGTTGTAGTTTCAGTGGTAATATGAGCAGCAAAACAAAATTTGCTGCAGAAAGTAGAACTCGAGTCTACTTTGCGCAACATGTTGCCTCAACCTGTAACACTGAATTTTGCTGCAAGACAAGTTGGTCACAAACGTGGTAATACGCGCTACAGAGGGTTTCAACTTGCAATGCAACAATGTTGCGGGACAAGTTGAAGAAAAATGTTGTGCGTATTACCGGACCTAAATATAGCAACAATGGTTCAAGATTAGACTATACCATAATCTTGGACTATAGTTAACAGCTAAAACTATCTTAATTTCCTTTTGTTTGATATTTGAACAGAAACATTCAATTAATTAAAATGTACTTTATCAATTATGTTGTTTGCGTATGCTGTGTTATTTCATGGAACCATCAAACCAGTATTTTTGAAGACCTGGCCTTATGGTAAATTGACAGAATAAACCGTGATACTATATACCTAACAAATAATATTTAACAAATAAAGACGCCTGAACCATATATTACACTGTGATAAAACATGACGGGCATGTGAGAACACGAGCCGCAGGCCAGTGTTTTCTACTTTTCTTGAGTGTTCTCATTATGTCCGGAGTGTTTTATCACAGTTTATAAAATAACTGAGATACTACGCCCGCTCTGATTGGTCAATAGAATTGCTAAACCTATGTTCTATTGTACTGGTAAACCATGGTTCCCCATCTATGGCAGTTCTACGCAGGAACTAGAGAACTCGGAACTCTTTCGATAACAAATGTAACAAACAGTCTTACCTTTCACTGGCTGAGATATCAATGACACAAATATCTTTTCATTCAACGTAGAAATTTTTTAAGGAAAAAAAGGACCAGAAGATGATTGTCATAAACAGCTTTATCTGTTTTTTCCTCGGCAAAAATTTTATGCTGACTCCGGTTACGCTTGAGATTAAAATTAACAAAGTTTTAAACCCTTTTTTCGGCGCTTTCCACGATCTGTGGAGGACGGAGTCAGCTGGGCTTGACTGATCAATTTGGGTTGTCAAAAAAGCAGCGAAAAGATTTCTTTCTATCAGAAATTTTGAGTTTAAATTCAATGCATGCATGCATAACATGACAAATGAATTTGGTTTCCATAAGCTTAGCTTTCAACCAATAGTTTCCATTTAGCAAAATACAGAGAAACGCGAACTTCATAGCCTTCAGCATAGGTAATAAATTCTGAATGAATTTTGGAAGCAGCGTTTCTGTAACTTATCTTTATTCCGTTCACTAAACTTTGGAAAGTTATGGTTAAACACTGCGTCGAATCACTTCGCCAAGCACACGAACTTTGGACTACTTGCAAACTTTTCATATAGCCTTTTTCGTGATGACCGATTCCACCTATGAATCCTTGCATTTCCCCATCAGAATACTTTTGAGTTAATTAATATTCTTTTTGCCTTTTACTGATAACCTTTTCCTTTCCTTTCTTAAAGCTTTCTTAGTGTGAAATGTTTTTGTTGCTTTGTTCCGGGGATTTCGTGTCCTGCGAGGAGTCTGTACTTTCATTCTTTCAGTCACTGTGATTGGTTTGGTACGTCATCTCATGAATTTGATAAGAATAAGCAACTTGATCATGAAAGTACAATAAATTTTCCTCTCATTGACAGGCTTTTTCCATAGTTATTTCACAAAAGCGATAGACCACTCTTTCTATGGGTTTACTGGGGCAATAAACCACTTGGAATGTTGGGAGAAAAAGCCTGTAAATCACTTGCCTAACGGCTTGTGATCTACAAGCTTTTCTCGTGCTCTCCCAACGTCCTGTTTGGTTTATTGCCCCAGTAAACCTACAGAAAGAGTTGTCTATTGCTTATGTAATACACGGTTCAGGCTTCTTCATTTGCTTTATGATATAGATTTTACACGTGCAAAACAATAAAATACGCTTTTTCTGTGTTTTATCTAAGCAATAGACCACTCTTTCTGTGGGTTTACTGGTGCAATAAACTACATGGGATGTTGAGAGAACACGAGAAAAGCATGTAATTCATGAGCCATTAGGCTCGTGATTTACAGGCTTTTCGAGTGTAAGACAGGAAAGGAAAAGGTTATTGGTGAAAGGCAAAAAGAATATTAATTAAGGTCTAGATAACAGCAGACACGTAAAGATTTTAAGGAAAACGACCAATTTTTTAAGTTTACAAGACATGTTTCGACAGAACTTCTGTCATCTTCAGTTGAATGATTACAAAGCAAGTTGAAAAGGTGTAAATTAAAAGGATAATTTTAGATTTACATGGTGTAATTGCTGATTGAGGCAAGGTAGTTCTTTTTGAATATGGATAGCCTCCTTTATCTTGAACTGAAAGCTGGTAGTGGCGTGATCTAAAATATGAAAGCAGTCTATTGAACACAATGAGCGCTCATTGTATTCAATAACGGGAGTCGGTGTAAAAGTTTTGCCGTGGAAAAAAAGATAAAGCTTTATATGACAACCAACTTCTGGTCCTGTTTTTCCTAGCAAATTTCCATGTATATGTTGAATGAAAAGTTATTCATGTTATTAATATCTCAGCCAGTGAAAGCCAAAACTATTTATTACATTAGTAATTGCTTGAGTTCTGAGTTCTTTAGTTCCCGTGTAGAGCTGCCATAGATTGGAACCGTGGTTTACTGGTACAATAGAACATAGGTTTAGCAACTCTATTGACCTATCAGAGTGCGCGCAGGGTCCTGTCTATATTATAAATATATCCTGCCAGGTTTTCGCCTGGATTCGGGCACAGCCCGAATCTAGGCTAAGCCAGTGACCTTTAACCCAGGGGGGGGGGGGGGNGCTTAAACCCAGGGGGGGCTCCGTCAAGGCCAGGCTGGGCACATGGCCCAATGACCGGCCTGTCTGCTGGTGGCTTGCTGGCAGCCAGCTGTCAAAAGCAGTGGGGAGGGGAGGGTGTCTTGTACTGACACCCCCAGCTAGTTAGACTTTTGAGTTTTCAGTGTTAAATAACCTTGATATTGACTGTGTTTCTGGGTATTTTACTCAGTTGTTTAACC